TTGTTGTTTTTTTCCATTTTATAAGCTCATCATGGTATGGATGGTAACTATGGTCATTTTTATAGTTGTGTTGGGCAAATCTACCTGTCACAAAACTATATTATTCTGTAGATATACACACTTTCGAAATGAAGTATGGTACTATAAAAAACAATATAAGCAAAAATATGAGATTTTATAGTACAAATATTTATTTTCATTCAAAAGTATATATATGGCGGGCCGACTTTCCTAACGGTTAGGTTGTCACATACAAAAACCATGCATGCCATTTTGGGTTTGTCATTTTGTTTTTTACATATAAAATTTGCCAAAATGCAAATTTTAAGATGGGTGGCCTGAATGTTGGTGAGATCATCGGTATAAATAACACTTTGGCTAAATTATATAATTTTGGTTTTCACCCGAGTAATATATAGTATTTAAAGTCATGTAATTTAAATTTCATTGCAATCGAAAATTCTAATTCGTATCTTGAAATGATTTTGATTAACAATTTAAGTCTTGCAATTTTAAATTTTGTCGTTATTGCGGTCGTTTTGACTGTCAAAATGGAGTATTTTAATAGTCAAGAAACTGAAATAGCAGCAAAATTTTTAAATTACAAAACTTAAATTACTATCTTCACAACCTATTAGAATCGAAGTTCAAATTCAGCCTAATGTTTTAAGAGCATATTTAGGTCACAAACCTTCATCTTTTGATTAGTCAAAAGTCAACGCCAATTAGGATGAGGTCATAATTGAATATCAAATACAATTACATGTTAGTCAAATAAATAAAGTTTTTACCCAAGAGCGAGATGGCTTGGGTCTCTTCCAGCTTAATCAGTGGTCTCGAGTTCAAGCCCTGGGAATGCAGCAGTGTTAAAAACTCTTGAGGGAGAGCTTTGCCGCCCTTGTGGTCCTACCCGGCTCGATTCCGGATTAGTCGGTTCCCCTGTGGATCCGGAAACCGGAAGGTCCCTGTACCACAAAAAAAAAAAAAAAAGTTTTTACTTTTAATTAAAAACTAGTATTAATACTCATGTACAACATGAGTGTTGAGTTAATGAATATACGTGTAAAGTTATTTATCTCTAATACTAAATTTAACTCCAAAGAGATAAAAATATAAAAACAACATGACGAAGCATAGATTTTCATCATCAGCATTCGAAGTGTGAAAATATACCACCTAAGTTCAACACGTTTTGAATTAATATATTGAGAGGGATAATAATAATTGTGATGGATGCGAATCTTTGTAAAAGCAATTTGAAAAAAATGGAAGAGGAATCATCATAATTTACGGATTGACTTTCTGCAATTGGCCGACCATTGTGACTGTTGAGCTGATATGTGTGAATTTATTTATTTTTTAATTGTTTTTTTATATTTATTTTTAGTGAAATAAAGTGACGTTTTAATTTATCTAGCTAAAAAAAATACTATTCATGCTTTTTAATTTTTGTTAAGTAAACATATGTACGCGTATAAGATAGTCAACTTCAAATTTTTGGATTGTGAATGTAATGTAAGGTGATGAATTATATTAAAATATATAATTTTTTTTTTACATAATTTATTGTAGTTGATTAGGGTCGATATTACTTATTTTGAATTTTTTAATCCAAAAATCAAGAATGGTGAATTTTTTATTTAACTGCTGAAATAATTTTGTAGGAGTAATTTTAAATTTAAAAGAGCATTTCCGTTATATAAAGGAAAGCTGACATAAAGAAAAAAATGTCGATGGACACAAATAGTGTGTTATACAAACACACTATTTTTTATTTTATTATTATAATATTATTATTTTTATTTTTGTTTATATACAAAGTTACAAACACACTATTAAATAAGATAATAATGCAAAAATAGTCAACCTCGAATTTTTAACAATTAGTGGCGCAAGCGCTGAATCATGTTAGGCTACTCATATGATTAAAGCAGTTCATAAATCGCTCAACGGGCTCGAGTAGTGCTAGGGGTCTCATACGCGATGACTTGGGGCGTTGGATAGGGGGATTCATCATGAATATTGGCGCGGGCATGGTTCTCAGCTCTGAACTTCGGGGCTTGTTACAAGGCCTTACTTTGGCGTGGGATCGGGGGTTGTTCCGGCAAGTCGAGGTAGAAGTTGACAATCTTAATGCTAAGAGATTGGCTCTTCGTTCGACCAGTGGCATGGGGGATCAAGATGTAATAGTTCGGGCCATTCAGGACATTATGGATAGGGACTGGGTTGTTCGAGTCCACCATGTGCATCGAAAAGAGAATTATGTAGCGGATTTTTTTGGCCCACCTAGCGGCTTCATACCCGATCGGATTGCAAACGTTATCCTCTCCTCCTTCTGGTCTAAGTATTTGGCTCGAACATGATCGCATGGGTGTGTCTCACCCTAGACAAATTCTAAATTAGGATTTGATCTCTTTCTTTGTACCAAAAAAAAACAAAAGCAGTTCATAAATTAGTGCGTTAAAATTGGATATAAAGTGGGAAAAATATGGAAAAACAGTGAGATTTGTAAAAATAAAAATAAAAATTGTGATTGTGTGTAAATTAAACAGTAACGATTAATATACATAATTATTAGTAAATATTGGTTTCTAAATGACTGATATCTGTAAATACACTTAATATTATTTCATTTTTTTTTTTTATAAATAGATCCTAATAATTGATTTATATGTTTAATATGTCTTCATCCGATTGATGAACAAAAAAAAAAAAA